CTAGGGAATACATCAATTAATTTTAATGGTTCTCTAGTTCTAGGATCTCTTGTTCAACTGGTATTTGTTACATAAAATAAATCATTCCTCTGCACTTTGAGAAGGGAAAGTTTATCTGGGTTATCCTGTAACTAGCCAAAGCAGCATCCCTATGGAGCAAGGTGGGAAAACACCAAGCTACTAAGATTGGATGTCAGATCACTCTGTTAAGCAAATATTCATTTAACATGCTAACCTTCAGCATTCCTGCATCCATATAACTAAAGTTGATGGACAGACACCCCTGTAAGAAGTTACTGTTAATTTCTGTGGGGCTAGTTTGGAATCATTTCCTTAACAGTTCTTAGAGAATAACACTTTTCAACTTACAATAAGGTTACACATAATAAACCTATCATAAGTTGAAATATTGTAAGTCAAAAAAATGCATTGGTACCCCTAATCTCCTGAACATCATAGCTTCCCTAAAAACATGCCCAGCTTATAGTTGAGCAGAATCATTTTATAATATATTGATTGTCATCTTTGGTGTTATTTATTGTTCCAAAGATGAAAAACAGAATGTGTATACTTTGCATCATTATAAAGTCGAGAACTCCTTATTAGATTCATCTTAAGACCTAATGTCTGGGGCTGGGGATGTGGCTCAAGCAGTAGCGCGCTCACCTGGCATGAGTGTGGCCTGGGTTCAATCCTCAGCACCACATACAAAGATGTTGTGTCTGCTGAAAACTAAAAAATATTAAAAATTCTCTTTAAAAAAAAAAAAAAGACCTAATCTGCAGTTGATATGGATTTTCTCATGTAGAAATGACAGTTTGTACTGACAAATAAATAGGAATTAGACTTGGGTAAGAAAGGTCCTAAAGGCAGGAAGGATGAAAATAATTGAGGGCAATTCTGAAAATTACTGAATTTCATAGGCAAAACCAAGTGACTTTCAGGAATTAGGCCAAATGCTTAGGTTTTTTATTGTTGTAGTAGTACTGGGAATCGATCTCGGGGGGCCCTCAACCACTGAGCCACATCCCCAGCCCTATTTTAGGTCTTTTTTTTTTTTTTTCTTTCAGCTTTGAGAAACTTAAGACTTGAAAGAATTGTATTATGAATAGTCACATCTTTCACCTAGATACACCAATTTTTATTTTTGCTATATTTGCTTTCTGTTATGTATGTAATAAGTTCTAGACAGCATGATACTTCATTAGTACTTAGGGGATACATGTCAAGTAAAATGACATTTTCCTATAAACTATAGTTATTACATCCAAAAAATTCAAATTTTATGCTGTATAATGTAGTACATGTTTCTATTTGCCCATTTGTTTCAATCTTCATTTTTTTTTTTTAAGTTCAGGGTGCAATCAGATTACTTGTGTGCATTTAATTACCAAGTTTCTTCAGCTTCCTTTGGTTCATAACAGCTCTTCTGACCTCCTTCCCCCTCCTCCTTGAATGGATAATTTTGAAGCATCGAGGCAAGTTGCTTCATGGAACATCAAATGGTTTAGATTTGTCTACTTGTTTTCTCATGAGTGGATTCAGGTTAAATACTTAGAAAACCATTTTTGGTAAGAGTAAAGCATAGGTGATAGATATATTTTAATCACATCTTAAGATAATTCAGATGCCATGTTACTTGTGGGACAAAGGAAGAGGACTCAGCAGTATAGTACCCTTAGATTTAATCCTCAGTATTCCCCCACCCTCCCAAAAAAATCCTAAACCAAAAAACGTGGCCTTGACTGAGACGAAGCCAGTTATCCAGAGACAGAAGGGTTGTTCTGATTTACTATACTTGGAAGAATTTTATAGGTCTGTGGCTGAATCTGAAAGTTAATGATTAAGCTATTCAAAAAGCAAAGATTAAAAGGTAATGAATAAAAAACAAAAAAACARACAAAAAAAAAGGTAATGAATGAGGGGCTGAGGCTGTAGCTCAGTGGTAGAGTGCTTGCCTCACAGGTGTGAGGCCCTGGGTTCAATCCTTAGCACCACATAAAAATAATATTTTTAAAAACCCTTTTTAAAAAAAAGTAATGAATGAGTGTTGTTTTACTCTTTCAGGATAAAATTGAGTTTTATAGCTTTAAATAACCAAAGTTCAGTAGCCACATGGTTTTAAAACTGGAGGGGGTACGATGTTGCTTGTTCCAACATTTTGATGTTTTTAGGGGTTTCAAGGAGAAAAGGAAAGTTGATTAGAAAAAGCATTTCCAGCTTGAGCATCTGAGTAAGAAACGCTTACTCCTTCTGTGTGGTATTCTTTACCTGTTTCCCAAAGGAGCAGATTGGCCTTACCACTTTGTGGTTTACACAGGATAATAATGGATGTGACTGAAATAGAATATTAATGAGAAAAGATTTCACATGTGATGGTTGGTTCTGTGCCCTCCTAACCAGTTGATGTCAAGGCTGGTGTCTGGAAAAGAAGTTGAACTAAAAACTTACCTCATTTTCCACTTCCATAGATGCTGAGAGTTGGAAAAGCAAAAGCAGATGTGTGGCCCAAACCTGCTCCAAAGAAAGGTGAGGAGGGCCTGCTGGTGAAGGGTGAGTTTGTCCTCTTTTCATTAAAATGCTAGTTGCTCATAGGAGTGTAACACTGATTTTTTTTTTTCCCCCCCCAGATGAGAACAGCTTAATTCCTCCTGCCCCTGTGGACAGTGATGGAGAGAGTGATAACTCTGACCGTGTTCCTGTGCCCAGTTTCCAAAATTCCTTCAGCCAAGCTATTGAAGCAGCCTTCATGAAACTGGACACACCAGCTACTTCAGATCCCCTCTCTGGTAAGGGCAGTGAACTGGAGTTCTCAACACAGGACTCTAAAAACTTACCACACAGGTGCTGCCATTCCTGCCTGTACTCGGCAGCAAACACTACCAACTCAAGATTCTAAGTGTAGGCAGGATCTACTCTCCACTGTCTTGGAAGAAAAAAATATCCAAATTTTCCTTCTAGGCCTCAAGAATTTATTTGGGTTGGTAAACAGGTTCTGACAAACCAAATTAGTTGATACTTGACTATGTTGAAGACCTAAACTGGTCGACCAGTCTGTAAAAGGTAATTCATAGATGTGTAAGTCAGTATCCACTCTGGTACTCACAATTAAACAAGAATTACAAATTTATGGTGTGCTTTTTATGTCCCTAGCATTGTGCTAATTTTCCAACAACCATATTGAATAGGTGTAACTCTTAGAGTTGAGAAAGCCAGGGCCAGGGAGGTAGCATCAAGACAAATATTAGTATATGCTACGACTGGCATTTGAGTCCAGAAGTCTAATTCCAGAGCCTGTACTTTGGCTGACATTGAATGTCTTGGTAATGGAAAGGCCAGGGAACCAAGATGGCATTGTAAATTAAGTGAGCTCTCTTTTCTGTTTTCCTTTAGAAGAGAAAGGAGGGAAGAAAAGGAAAAAACAGAAGCAGAAGCTCCTGTTCAGCACCTCAGTTGTCCATACCAAGTGACACTACTGGCCAAGGCTACCTTCTTCATCTGGTTTTCTTTTTTCTGTGCTTTTGTTTTGCTGCTGTAATTTTAAGTATTTGAGTTTGAACAGATTAGCTTGGGGTGGGGGGAGGGGGTTTCCACAATGTGAGGGGGAATCAAAAAATTTTAAATACAGTGTATTTTCCAGCTTCCCGTCTTTACACCAAAATAAAGTATTGACACTCACATGAGATCTCTCCCTGCCAAAGCTTTTAGTTTGTTGCCAGGTTAGCCTTTTTGATCCACGTGTAATTTAACCCCAAACAAGTTTTGAGCCCCTTAGCACCCCTTGGAGCAGCCCAAACCACAACACTGCTCTGCTGTGACATCATGTGTCAGGCTTCCTGGTCTCTCTGCATACTATTAGTTGTCTTTTTAAAAATGGTTGAATCTTTCCTACCTGTTCAGTTCTCCTTGTTAAAGAAACAGAGGGATGGGAATAAAATGGATTTAGGACACCCAGTTTGAATTGAAGTTTTTCTTCTGACAAATGGCCAGGGTGTGGTGCCAGACTTGAGTTGGCAGCTTGATGGACACTTGCCATGTGTGAGGGAGTTTTGCCCCTTGAACTTGGCTTTGCTTTAAAAAAAAAAAAAAAAAAAAAAAAAGTTGTACTTGTCACTAAGAAAGCCTTTGGGACATCCTTTCCTTTTGGACAAGCTTATTTTGACAGTAGCATGAATTATAGGAAAGAGTCCAGCACTCCTGGAGAGCAGGCTAATAGCCAGGTCACCAATGCTTAGCCTCTTTTACCTAGAGCAGCTCCATCCTCCCAAACCCTATACCGATTGCTGGGGTTAGAATCCAAGGCAAGTGGCCTGCCATTGAGCTCCTAGCCAGCCCTTTATTTTTTTCTTGCTAAGTTGCCCAGGCTGGCCTCAAAATTGGGATCCTCTTGCCTCTCTGCTAACAGGAACAGGAACAATAAGCATTTGCCACAATACCCAGCCCTAGAGCAGGTTCCTATGCCTGGTTTTAGCTCAGTTTGAATCTTTTTGCTGCTTAAAAAAAGTGACTTCTAGGTATAATAGAATGAAGACAAAGTTGCAATAAATCACCTGCACAAGTAATACTGGGGTTTTTTGTTTTTTTAAAGTTCTGTTTACAGGTCAGCTAGGCACATTATTTCTAGATTAAATAGAATTGTGCAAACTCATAGCAGCTAGTATGGACTAACATCTCTGGTATGAGGCTTAAAGCTGGATTTAGCTTTATCATTTTTGAGAAATCCTGGGTCAAGGAAGGTGCTTAGCCTTAGATACGGGGTATATTGAAGTAAATATCACAAATCTTAATAAAGATTTTCTATTAAATGTGATGGTGCATGCCTGTAATCCCAATAGCTTGGGAGGCTGAGGCAGGATGATCCCAAAGGTTGAGGGCCTTAGCAACTTAGCAAGGCCCTAAGCAACTTAATGAGACCCTGTCTCAAATTTTAAAAAAGCTCTAGAGATGTGGCTCAGTGGATAAGGTTCAATCCCTGGTACCAAGAAAAAACAAACAAAAAAAAACTTCTGTATCCTTTTATTATGGAGAAAAGAGATCCTAGAGATGTCATTAGGAGGTAGCAGGCTAAATGTGGTCACAAGACTTTTACTCCTTCCTGTGAGTGTGGCAGTCTCTTCTGGTGTTACGTTTAAGGCCACAGGAAAAGAGTGGAACTGTAGAAAACGGAATTTGGCAGATGTTCTAGGGCCATGTAAATAATGAGGGCAAGTGAGGCCAGTCTCCAAAGTGCAAAAGTTGTATTATCAAGTCACCTGATTAAATATTGGGAAGGAATCTGGTATTTATAAAGCCAAGATTAGATTAGCTATAGGTCTGTACAAAGTTTAGTTGCTGTCTTAATATTTCTACTTCAGGTGACATGTTTTGCTTAAGATCCAATTTGGGGGTTGAGAGTACAAAGCCTCAAGTGGAAGGCTAAAATAAATACCACAGAGGGAGTTAGTCTTCTCACCAAGGTCAGGTTGTAGATGGGGAGACTTGGCCACACATGAATTCTGTAAGCCCTTTTATAATTTATAGCATTGTTTAACCAAGCAATTAGATACAAAAATGTAACTAGAGAGCCTTTACAACCTGCAGACCAGGATCCAAGGGATGTTACATAAAGGTAACTTAAGTCCTCCATTTCAAGCTGGTTACTTGTCTTCTGGTTGGTAGTCTTCCAGTTTGGAGAACTATATGTAGATGCTGTGCCTCCTAGAATGTTCTGTTTCCACAAGTAGGCCTGAACAGCCTTCTGTGTGGTAAGCAGAAGTTCACTCCATTGCTTCAGCAGCCTCTTCACCACCACTGTCTGAAAGCTCTTCCTCACCAGAATCCTCTAATAAACAGCTTCTTGTGACAGACTTTTGGATGGCTTCCCGCTCTCCTGGAGAAAAGCATACAAACCAGGGATGAAGGATGTCTTTGGGAGCATCTCTTATTCAACTGAAGCTCAGTCACTGCTTGGTAGGCACTGAACTAGTGTTGCTTACCTTCATCAGTGCAGTTCTGCAACAGGATCAACAGCTGTCTCCTGTTGTACTGAATCAGAAACTTCTGACAAGTTCTAATTGTACCTGAAGGAGATTTTTGTGGTCAATAGCTTGTGAAAGGTTTTTAAAAGACAGATAGGCAGAAGTATCTTGTTCTCAATGGGTCAGCAGGAAGCCCGCCCACCCATTTGTCATGATTGATCTTTGAATCTGTCAYCTACTAAAAATCATCAGCCATACCACATGGCACTCCTACCTCCCACATGTAAGGTGTTGAAAAAACAAGGATAACGGTGTCCTTTGTTCTCCAAGTACGTAATGAAAGGAAGAGCTGACCACACGAGCTGATAGAATTCTTTTCGACACCGAAGTAGCACTATTCCAGTATAAGCATTGATGTATCGAACTATAAATAAAGAAAAACTTTTGGAAAACCTTGGATTCACAGTAGGTAACAACCTTGGGAGAAAAGCCTATGTACCAGAGACTCTTCTAAAGACAAGTGGCACTTGAGAGGATGCATCAGTAAAAAACGGATCCCTGAAAGAAAACCTTAGGACAAACCTTTATTTATGGAGAGGCATTGCCTTGTACACAATGAATGGTAAATGAATTTAGAATTTAAAATACTCTTGTCCCTGACCAAATAAATGGGATGGGAGAGGTCCATCCTCACTGGGCAGAGGGACCCTTACCTGAAAAACAGGTGGTTGTACTACAATTGGGCTCTATAGTTTGGTTTTTGGTGGTGGTACTGGGGATTGAACCCTGGAGTGCTTTACCACTGAGCCACACACCAACACCCTGTCCTTTCTGGGTATGTTTATTTTGAGACAGGGTCTAGCTGAACTGCACAGGTTGGCCTGAAACTTGGGATCCTCCTGCCTCAGCCTCCCAAGTAACTGGGATTATGCTGTGTGGGTTCTTTCAGTAGCCAGATGAGTCTTCACCTGTGATGTCTGTATGCCTTTAATTTTCCAGAATTCAAGTTTGGGCTTAGGAAGGAAGAGAACTGTGAACTATGTGGTACTTGTTGGAAGAAGGGCCTCTGCGTGGGCTCGTTCTGCATTTACATACACAGCAATCGAGTTCTATATTACTCTTTCAAGGTTTTTCCAGGTGTGTGTGTGTGTCTAAGGGGGTAATTGTGACACATTCCGTGTGGTGTCAATACATCCAAATAGTAGCTCTTATCAGGAGTTATATATGGTTTCCCTCAATTGTATTAAATTCAATCACAATCTTCAAGAGAAGTCAGGTACAGAAAAGATTCTTGTCCAAAAACCCAATGCCTTCAGGTCCCCACTCTAAGCTCTTTGTCCAATTTCCGGTTCCTAGCGATCTCCCGCTCCGGGTACCAGACGCCCAAAACCTCCAATACAAAGGATGGTACACGGACTTGGTTGCTTCAGGGGTCGCTCGCGCCCCTTTTTTCCCCATTCTACGGCGCCTGCCTGCTCCAAATCCCGCCGTCCCCCAGCGCCCTCGCACCCGCGAAACCAACAGAGCAGGCGGCTGCGCCGAAAGTCCCGTGTACGCGGGCAATCGTGTCCCGAAAAAGACCGCCCAGCACTCGGTCCTCCAGACTCAGGCGACAGCGAGGGTCRTCAGACACCAATTCGCAGAGCAGGTACCTGCAGCAGACGAGAAGGCGGTGAGCGCGAGGTGGGGCTCCGGGGGCCGGGCGGGGGTGCCCCAGCAGCCGCTTACCTGTGCTTGAAGCGCACCATGGCGGCCTCACCCCAGCAGGCACGACGTACACACCGGATGTCGGTCCCGCCCGTGGCCAATGGGAAGTTGGCCTTCTCGGCCTCGCAGCCACTCGCAGAGGGAGGCAGGACGGGGGCGGAACCAGGCCCTTGAGAGGCCGAGTTCTGTGTCAGTCTCCTCAAAGCCCCGCCTTCCCTTGCGCTTGTGAGGGCGCGTGCGTCCTCGGAGCCTTCCTAAATTAGTTTGGGGGCGGGACTCGGCAATTGAGTGGCTTGTGGCAGTGATGGGTGGTTTTGCTCCACATCGGGATTTACAGTTTTGGTGTCAGCCGCCCTATTTGGTGCCCTTGGGACCCTCCGGTTCAGTTATGTATGCCATTATATTCTGTCTCCCAAACGGACGGTGGAACTTTTGAGGCCAAAATCTTGAGGCCTGCCAGGAATTAACACTCGGGAAATCTGACTCTTATTTTCAGGTTAGAGCTCGATTTTTCTTCGGTACAATTAGAAGTTCTGTTACTATTTGGGCTTTTCAGCAGTCTTATGAAGGTGGGTGCTTTAGTAACATTTTTTGTTAGCAAAAAAACACAATATATAGTCATTGTATTTTCCGGATTTGTAAAATATTTATTTTTTAGTTAAAAATAATACCTGTATTTAATTTATTTTTATGTGGTGCTGAGGATCTAACACAGAGCCTCGCGCATACTAGATGAGCTCTCTACCGTTGAGCCACAACTCCAGCCCATATTTCCGGATTTTTTTTTTTTAACTATACACAGAGAAGCAAATAAAATAAATTGTAGTCCCAGCACGGAGAGAGAATAACTGCCATGAAGTGTTTTCTTTCTCATCATTTTCCCCATATGTCAGGGATTCCCAAAGTATGGATCAAAGACCACTGAGACCGCTCAAGGAGTCCCCAGCTTCAAAATTACTTTCATAATAACATTAAGATGTCATTTGCCTTTTTCATTCTCAAAATGGACAGTGAAGTTTTTTCCACAGGTTGAGTGACATGTGATGACACCATTGCTCTGACATCTAATGGAATTCTGTATTTATTTTAAACATTTCTCAGTTTTAGGAGATGAGGATATAGCTCAATTGGCAGAGTGCTTGTTTTGCATGCACAAGGCTCTAGGTTCAATCCCCAGCACCACGCACACAAAAAGTCCAATGTTCATGGTAAATATTGATAGAAATAGCCCGCAAAAAAAAAAAAATCCTTTGGAATCCACAGTAAGACTCTATAGGAATCCTGAGACAAATAAAACACTGAAGAATAGAGGATCATACTATTTTTTCCTTTTCATGAAAAAAAAATGTATATGGCATATTCTTACATGTACAACTAAATGAATGTCTATGTGTGTGTAGACTTCTTCCCAGTCAAAGCCCTTACTAGGAAGGAACTCTACTGCCTTCTATTACAATAGATTAGTTTTGCTTGTTCTTGAACTTTATATAAATAATTTACAGCATGTTTTGTGTCTGGCGTATTTCATCCAACATCATTGTAAGACTCGTTCTTGTTTGACTTATCATATCAGTTGTTCTGTTACAATATTCTTATGCATTGTTACATTGTCTGAATGAATCATTGTTTAGTCAATATCCCCTTGATGGACGTTTAAAACATCTCCAGATTTTTTGGTTACACCCAATACTTGGATGGATAGCCGTGTAGCTAGCTAGGTCTTTACGTCCACCCCTATTTGTCATGACGCTCATCTGTGCGGTTCAAGAAGAGAGACAGGTTTCACAACTGATAATTGACAATCATCCCCTACTCTTTTTTCCACCCGGAGGAAAAACGGGAGGGTAGGTGGTGGCGCAGTGTAGGGATCAATGACTCTACAGTTCTACAACTACCTCATGATCCAGAAACACGATCTCCAGCGTCCTCTGGTCGGCAGGGGGCGCCAGAAGCCCTCTGCGGAGAGCTCAAGACCCAGCCTGACTCAGCCTGAGTGTCTAGCTTCCTACCTCCCTAAAAATACCCATCCCTAACCCTTCTCAGCCTTCGTTCCTTTAATCTTAACGCTGCGTTTATTTTATAGATGCAATTGGGGTCCAGAATAGAGTCAAGTATTCAATAAGGAGCAGGCGCAGAATTCGAACCCCAAATCTTCCGACTCCAGCGTCCCTAATCCCATCTACGCGACTGTTGTCCTCCGGTGCCCCGTTTCACCGTCCACTTGGTGTAATAAAATGGAGCGATGGCATCGTAGGTTCCAGCCCCTCTTTCTTCACTTACTAGCCAGGTGCTGTCGAGGAGGTTAATTCACGTCTCTAGATCTCAGTTTCCCCATCTCTGCAATAGGTTAATAATGGTGTCTATTATTAGTAATTATTAGAATGGAAGTTTAAGCGGAATTACACCGGCACTGTGCCCGGCACCATGAACGCATAGTACACGCTGTTTTGAATGAACGATTTACTCCTGATGCACAGCACGGCCCGGGGAGCAAACGCGGGTTCGGTCTTTGGTTCTGAACCAGGTCCGGCCCCTCCTGGCCCCGCTGGGGTGCAGACGCGCGTCGGCGGAGCAGCCTCTCCCAGGATAATTAGCCTGCGCGGCTCGGGTTCCATCAGCCGCTAATTACACGTCTCCTAATGAGGCCGGCGGCTGTTTGCAATCACCCGGGTCCCTGCCGCGCGGCGCGGGAGGCCGTTGGGGACTCCGCCTGCCGAGGCGTGGAGGGGCGGCGGCCTCCCAGTCCCCAATACGCCAGTCTGCCTCCTCCTGGTTCCCATCCCTTTACCCGGCATTAGGGTGAGGAAAGGGGCTGAGGCTTAGAGAAGTGAACTTGAGCATGATTCACTCCAGAATAGGTCCGTCTGAGCCTGAGCCGGAGCTTGTGCCCTTAACAGATTCATCTGCCGCCTGGATCAATGGGGTAGTTGCTATTATTACTGTCTTTATTACAGTCGTAGATCCTAAATCTGATCAGATAAATGGGGGGGGGGGGCGGGGGCGGAGCTGGGGCTTGGATTCCTTTGGATTCCTCCCCTCCTGCCTGTCTGAGAGTTCCTGCTCCCTAAATTACAACTCACACAACCCATTTCATAGGCTGGAAAATCTGGAGCATTCCCTAGGAGGCGGTTGGGGCAGCTGCAGTTAGGTAAGGGTAGGAGGCTACCAGGGGGCAGGAATGTTGCCTGGGTCTTCTGATGTGGGATCCAGAGTAGCTGCTGTTCTTCATGCTTGTCTCCTGCAGGGCGGTTTACTAGGCTCTCACATGTACCAGCACTGCACTAAATACTTTCTGGGTGTGACTCCATACCCATGAGGGTTAGAAAGGGAAGTGATTTGCCCAAGGTCACTGTAATTTGGGCCAACTTCTGTCTTACCCCCAAACCTGTGCTCTTATCCCYTTATTCTCTACTCCCAACTCTGGGATGTCCAGGAACTAGAAGGATGTTCAAGGAAGGAAGGTCTGATCTGGTGCCATTCTAAGGTGCCTTTGGCATCTAGGAAGTCCCTACCAGCATCTGGATGCTGCCTTGGAAAATTGGTGGCAAAGGAAAATTGAATCTGCTTCAGCATTTTGGAAAGCAACCGCTGATCATTAGGGGCTCCTGCCCCTCTAATCCTATCAACCAATTTCCTGTAAAGACTTATGGAGGCAATCTAGATAAAATTAAATCCTCCATCTGTTTGACGGGGGGCCTGGGGAGCCACCACCTCCTCCAGGTTGCTGGAGCAGACACAGCCCTCCCTGAACCTCAGAGATAGAACATTGCATCTCACTCAATCCCACCCCTGTGTCCTGTGAGATTGGCTCATCCAAAAACTAATTGAGAATCCAAGGGCACTGTTGTTTGACCCAGCAATTTCTCCACCAGGAATTTATCCCACAGGATTCTTGCACATGCCAGAGGACAGGTGAGCAAGGATGTATCTTGCAGCATTGTTTGCAATGGCAAAAAAGTCACCTCAATGTTTATCAGAATGCGTAGTGATTGGACAGCTATGTGCCAGAGAGTGTTGTAGACACTTTGCAAAGATTGATACATTTCTCCTTGCAGCTACCTATAAAGTACATACTTATTTCACTGCAGTCCTGGAAATCAAACCTAGGGCCTTGCACATGCTACACACAAGCATTCTACCACTGAGCCACACTCGAGTCTGTACTTAATTTTACTAATTCCATTTTACATATGAGGAAACAAAGACTCAGAAGAAGTAACTTGCCCAAGCTTCTTGAAGCTAGAAGCTCAGGGCCATGGTTTGACCAGAAAGACTGTGTTTGTAACTATTATTCCATAGAGATTTTCTGACTTTTTTTTTGCATAGAACATTTCCAAAAGGTGACACAAGAAATTGTTGATGGTGGTTACCTCTGGGGAGAGAAATTTAAAAATGTACATTAAGAAGAGGGACTCGCCAGGCAAAGTGGCACATGCCTATAACCCCAGGAGCTTGGGAGGCTGAGGCAGGAGGATCTTGAGTTCAAAGCCAGCCTCAGCAAAAGCTAGTCACTAAGCAACTCAGTGAGACCCTGTCTCTAAATAAAATGCAAAATAGGGCTGGGGATGGGGCTCAGTGTTTGAGTGCCCCATGTTCAATCCCTGGTTCCTTTTGTACCATTTTATTTTACCACATTGTTATGCACTGAATGTTTGTATCTTCCAGCTCCCACCAAATCCTTGTGTTGAAATCCTAACCCTCAACATGATGGTATCAGGAGATGGGGCCTTTGGAAGGGATCAGGTTATAAGGGTGCAGCCCTCAAGAATAGGATTCGTGCCCTTATGGAAGAGATGTCAATTGCTCTCTCACMCTTTCCTGCCATGTGAGCACACAGGAGGAAGACACCACCTATGGACCAAGAAGTGGGCCATCATCACACACTCAATCTGCTGGTGCCTTGATTCTGGACTGCCTGGTGTCCAGAACCATGAACAATAAATTGTTGTGCAAGCCACCCAGTTTGTGGTGTTTTTGTTATGACCGCCTGGACGAATGAATGGGCATGTACATGTTAATTCCACAATTTTTAAGAAGTTACTGAGCCCCAGCTTAAAAGTATGATATTACTAATGTTTACCTCCACTCTGGCAGTGGGCACTATC